TGGTCGACGATGTCCATGGGATGGAACAGGGTTTTGCCATTGAGCTGAATCTCGTCGGGAACTGGGGGAACCTTCTTAAGAGACTTGTGTAGAATTCCAGGAGCCTCCGAAGTAGTAATCCAGTTCCGAAACTCACGCAAAGAAGAATAAATAGCCCGACTCCTAGCGCGTCCTGCGACACGTCTGGCTGCCAGAGCAAGTCGCTCGACGGAGCCGTCGGAAATAGAAGCAATGCGATGTAACTTGTCCTGCCATGTGCTCCAAGCGGCCTGCCGAGAGCTGTCATCTGGATCTGGAATTCGCAAAAGAGGAACGTGCACCCCTGGAGGCAGGTCTCCCGCGAGTGCAGCGCAGGCCTGGACTAGCTGCGCCTGCTGTGCGACCCCGTTGCCTCGACTGCGATGCTTACTGAGAGGGGTGAGCACGGTGGAAAGACGCCCCCACCAACTAGCCACGACGTCGTGTAGAGGTTGATCCCGAGCTTTATCAGGAGCCTTCATTTCAACCACCCGAAAGAAAGGACCCTGACCCCTCGTAGTGCCTCCAGAGATACCAACGCCGTGATGTGTAGTGATGACCTGCTCCACCGTAGATGCCCAAGAAGAGTAGAGAGCTCCAAGCCGACTAGCATGCTGACCTCCTACGGCGTACGCGACTGAATCTCGTACGACTGGCCAGACCTCCTGCCCGCCGTCCGAGTGCGTGTACCCCATGTGGCCCTTGCAGGTCTCCCAGAGCTCAGCCGAGATAGAGAAGGAAGGGAGAGAGGACTGACTATTGGTTGCCGAGGGGGGGGTCACGGAGGGGGGGCGCCCTACGGTCCCAAGAAACTCTTTTTCAGACAGACACTGCTCAGACAGAGACGCGACAGCTGGAGACGCCGTGGCACTCGCTCTGTTGGGGGCGGAGACCTCGGCGCCAGCCGCGTCGTCAAAAAAACTGGAAGAGATTAAATCGAAGTCATCGCCTGAATCACCGTCCGACATACCGTCGTCCAGCTCGAAATTGGCCCGCTCAGGTTCGGCAGTGAGATCCCCGAACAGAGCCTCCGAGGCCTCCGAAAACCTCAACCTCTGAGACTGCTTGGCCGCGGCTCGTTGAGCCTTGGCAACGCTGGACTTGGATCCAGGGGTAGGTGCCACCCCTGGCCGTGGGACCTGTGGGAGCCTAGCCGGTGTGGCCAGCTCCCTGCACAAAAGTTGCGTCCCTGAACTACGAAGCCGAATCAGTACTGCACTATGAGGCTTCCATGGAACAGAAAGGATGGGCGTGACGCTGACCAGGTAGGGGACGCACGAATGACTAGCAATGACGTAGTCGAGCATGGCGCCTTTACCTGACTGGCATGTCGTTGACGCCCCCATCGGCTTGAAGATAACCCCGTCAACCTTCTGGATGAACCCTCGCTGCACCAGCACCTCGGGCTCGAGGTTGAAATCTCCAACTATGAACCATGGCAAACGTAGCTGTGAGACGAGCGCGCCAAGCTTGGCCAGACGCGCGAGGTTCCTGCCCCCGAAGCCCTCGGAGCAGAAGCCGTAGTACGTGATGGCCACTAACGAGTACCCATGCATATGAACAATGGCCGCACTGAACCCATCCAGTGCTGAGGAACCATTCGCTCGCAACTCACGAAGTACAGCGTCCGTGTCGCTCAGGCTGTGCATCTGCAGGTGGTGGCGGCACATGAGCCACTCCCCACCCTCGTTAGACTTGTCCTGAGTCGCTGCCGTCTTGCCCCGCCCCAGGGCTCGAGCGGGGTTGATGATGAGCTTGAAATGATTCTTGTGAGCCTGCTCTCGCCAATACTGCACGTCCTTGTTGCTCTCAACGTGCGTCTCGGCGATACCGAAGACATGGAAAGGCTTGCAGGCTGGGCCTGATATGAAATCCCACGCTTGCTTGCCCATAGTCGTGACGTTGGCGAAGAAAAAATAGCTGTCCGACCCACTCTTGGACATGGCGATGCGCTCATCGTCCGTCATGCTGAGTGGTCCCTGGATTGGCTCCAGGGCGGCCCGCCTCTGAGGGCGCGAACTCCCTGTGCTTGTGCTGCGGCCTACCCTGTGGCTCGAAGCTCCCGACTCCCGCTGGGAGGGCCTGCCGCCAGGGTCGCCGCAGCCATAGGTCGGGGAGATGAGACTCCCCTCTCGACTCGAAATGCTCGATGAACTTCCCAAGTCGCCACCAGCCGCCGACTGCTCGCACCCGTCGGCTGGCCCCCGTGGGCCTTGGTGGGGAAAACCTCCTGCATTGGCACCGACTGCAGGAGCCCCTCTTGAAGGTCACTTGGAGACAGGGGTGTTGACGGCGAGGTTCGCCGCGTCCGCCGCTGCCTGCTTCGCCGCCGTGATCTTCTTAGCTGCCTCCTTGATGCGAGCCTCCTGCTTCGACTTGTCGGACTTGTCGTCGGCTTCGGAGCTGATGGATGGCCCGCCGCTGGCGCCGCTGCTGCCGCCGCTGACACTGCCCGCCGTGCCGCCGTCGGCCGTCTCCGCCGCCTGGGTGCCCTGGTTGCCGTCTGCGCCCCCGATGACCGAGTCGCCATCCACGCAGCGGCGCTTCCTGGACTGCCTGGCCTCGATCTGCTTCTGCAGCTCCTTGGCCCTCTCGAGCCATCCTACAACCTGCGTATTCTTGGACGTGAGCTGGGTCTTGGTGGCCCTCAGGTCGGCTTCGAGCTTCTTGAGGGCCTCCTTTTCCGCTGGTTCTGCTTCCATGTCGTCGATGCCAGCGAAAAACTGCTCGTCCCAAGTGATGTCAAACAACTGATCAGACTCGGCCTTGGGCGGTGCGAACACTCCTACCTTAGTCGCCAACGCCTGGGCCGCCAACTTCTTGGCCTCCTGCGCTGCAGCCAAAAGGATAGCGGTCTCCTCCTCCTTCTGCTCGGCACGAGAAAGGTTCTCCCTGGCGCGCAGCAAGGATGCAAAGGCCTGGTCGTGCTTGGTCTGCGCGTCCTTGACAGCACCGTCAGCTTTCTTCACGGCTTCCTCTGGGGTGGAGTTCGAGCCTAACAAGCTGATCTCACCCTTGAGGACTGTGATCTGACTCCTGAGGGCCTGCTGGAGTGCCGGGTCAGTAGTGACCGCAAGGGCGCTCTCTAGCGTGGCAAGCTTGGAGCTCGCGGCTGCCTGAGATGCCCTCCCTCCTGCCACAGATCCTGCAAACGCCAGATGCTGCTGCTGCTGCTGCTGTCCCGAATCGCCGTCGTCGCCATTATTGTCCTTCTTCCCTTGATATAGCTTGACCGATCTCCCACACTTCTGGCAGCGTCGATCTCGCTCTAAGAGAAGACTGTTCCACTCGCTGCGGCCACAGCCTTTGCATGTTGACCACGCCGTGGAATGTGGCGCCATCCCTGGAATGATTTGCCCTCTTCGCCACCGAGAAAGGCGGCTCCCGAGGTGAGCTGCTGCCTCGGTGCCCCCCAAGCGCCCCGTGAAGGCGAGGGCCTGGACTCGAGGATCGCCAAAATGGGACTCTCGAGCCAGTATGCTTGAGAGGAGGAAGGGGAGGAGAAGGGGGGACGAGGAGGAGGCGGAGGAATAGGAAATGACATTGAGCTTCTCATTCCTCTCTGGGATTGGCCGCCTGCGTGTGCGGCTCGACTCTTGGGGCGCTCTTGGGGCGCTCTTGGGAGGCTTGTTTGGGACCTCGGGGGCCGTCTTGGAGACCTCTTGGCCCGTCTTGGGGCCATCTTGGGCGTCTTGGAGGGGTCGTTTGGCGTCTCGAAGCCTTCGTGGGCCGTCTTGGAGGCCTCTTGGGTGCTTCTTGGCCCGTCTTGAGGCCCTCTTCGACCCGGAAAAGCTCTGGAACCGCTCGTCCCGGCCGTGCTGCGCTCGTCCCGGCTCCCTCCCCCCCTCCAAGTCGGCCCTCTTGGGCCGTCTTGGGGACCTCTTGGGCCGTATTGGGGCCGTCTTGGGCCGTCTGGAGGCCGTCTTGGGGGCCTCTTGGGCCATTTTGGGGCTATCTTTGGAGCCTTTTTGCCCGTCTTGGAGCGTCGGACAGCCGGAAAGGCGGAGAAGCAAAAAACGTCGAAAAACACGCTGGAAAATCAACAATTTTAGACTTTTTGGGCCCTCTTGGGAGGCTTGTTTGGGACCTCGGGGGCCGTCTTGGAGACCTCTTGGCCCGTCTTGGGGCCATCGTGGGCGTCTTGGAGCGGTCGTTTGGCGTCTCGGAGCCGTCGTGGGCCGTCTTGGAGGCCTCTTGGGGGCTTCTTGGCCCGTCTTGAGGCCCTCTTGGGCCCGGAAAAGCCCTGGAACCGCTCGTCCCGGCCGTGCTGCGCTCGTCCCGGCCCCCTCCCCCCCTCCAAATCGGCCCTCTTGGGCCGTCTTGGGGACCTCTTGGGCCGTCTTGGGGCCGTCTTGGGCCGTCTGGAGGCCGTCTTGGGGGCCTCTTGGGCCATCTTGGGGCTATCTTTGGGGCCTCTTTGGCCGTCTTGGAGCGTCGGGAAGCCGGAAAGGCGGGAAAGCAAGAAACGTCGAAAAACACTCGGGAAAATCAACAATTTTAGACTCTTTGGGCCCTCTTGGGAGGCTTGTTTGGGACCTCGGAGGCCGTCTTGGAGACCTCTTGGCCCGTCTTGGGGCCATCGTGGGCGTCTTGGAGCGGTCGTTTGGCGTCTCGGAGCCTTCGTGGGCCGTCTTGGAGGCCTCTTGGGGGTTTCTTGGCCCGTCTTGAGGCCCTCTTGGGCCCGGAAAAGCCCCGTGAGTCGCTCGTCCCGGACCCCCCCCGCTCGCGCCGGACCCCCCCCCCCCTCCAAATCGACCGGACCGGGCTCCCGGGGGAGGGGTTTGGGGAGGGGGAAGCATCTCACACGCCGATGATCCCCAAGGGGTCGGCGGATTTGTATAGTGGCTTATGTGGGCGGTTACGATCAGTCTTGCCCCACGCCTTGCGGGGTGATCTCCTCCCTTCTCTGCTGCCCGTCCATGTGTATAATGAGAGTTGTCGAGCACTCTCTGTGCTCAGCCTTCTCGCGCCGCTTGCTCCAGGAAAAGGTCGACGCTGGCATTATCGAGGTGTACATAGACGGGATGCCTCACTCGCCAGTGGGGGCTGGAGGTTCACTTTTGTTTCGCAGTATGTGCGAAAGGAGGGTGGGGCAGACGGCATGGGTTGCATGGCAGTGTTCGAACTTCGTCTCCTTTCTTGGTATTCCATTCCCGCATGATCCTCCCCCTCTCCTCCTACTCCTGCTGCGTAGCCGCCATGCTGGCTCGAGGCCGGAAGTTATGTGGTTCTGGTATTGTTCAGCCTTTCCGGCCGGTGCCGCCGACCCTGGAGGCGGGATTTCCCCGGGGTCCCCTCGTGGGACCCTGGGGCCGGGGCCACGGCCTGGGCCGGGGTCAGGACCAGGGCCAGCCCGCTCCCAACAGGGCGGGCCCTCCTTGTCCCCCTGGTCCACAGGTGCGACGACCCCCCGGGACTCGTCGGGACCCCCGGGGGCGTCAATCTGACCCAGGAGCCCCCCCACCCCCCCTCTGCCCCCATCCCCGTCTACCCCCACCACCGCCCCCGGCAGAACATACAAAAAGCAAAAGGAGTCCACTTAACGACGACGTTTTGTTTTTCTGCTCGCTCTTCAATATTCTTGGGACTGGCGACGACCACGACGAAGACGACGACAACGACTCACGTTGAAGCGTCGTCGGAATTCTACCTGATGTCTGTCATGATGCCCTCGCGGATAGCGTGTATTGCTGCTACGACGTTGTTTAGAATTTTAGTGGCATGCGAACGATTTATTGTTCCGAGCCTCGGTGATTTGGACGGCTTCGTGGCGTTGGAACAACGTCATCAATTTGAATGGTTTGCCAGTGCTGTGCGTGCCCTCCGCACCTAGAACAGTGGCTCAGGCATCCATGTAATCATCACAACAGGTGACAAGTTTCCCACTCAAAGTGATCCCGACATGGCCGAAACAAATCGACTCCGCAATCCTCTGAGGCGTGACTATGTATGGCCTTTCGCACCAGTGCCAGTGAAACGGCATTATTCGTCGCAATGGCAGTTGAGAGAGGGCTTTTGAGCCGGCACGCCTTCACCCAGTTGGTTGAGGTGTGTCGGGCGGGCAATGGTGCACAGTGCGCGGCATCACCGGTGCCTGACATGTTGATGTGTTTTTGCTGTTTTTCTGTTAAACGATTTTGATTTCCATTAATTTCTATTCACTGTTCAGGGTAGGGCGTTCAGTGGACGTCCAGTGTAAATCCAGTCTCGTAACCCCTAATTTTGTGTCAATTCCCAGCCATGGAGTTTTTCCCATGTTGTCAGATTAGGAGTGGTTCCATCACGATAGAGTTGTTGTTGTGTGTTTCGGAAGGTGTTGGTGCTCTTACGAGTTCCATTGGGGACCTCGCAGAGCACCCAGAACCAGCTAGGGTGTCTTCTCGTGGACCGTTGGAATAAACGCGAGAGGCCGTTGCAATGCCAGGCGTCTGCCCTGCACGCGGCCCACGACTGCTAGGAGCTCAGGAGCAAGAGCGTCTTCTAGTTTTGTCGTGAGCTCGCTCATGAGAGCATCAGATTTGCCTTGCTAGGTGGATGAGGTTTCCGTCATCCTCCTGCACCATTGCGAGATGAATCGCACGGGCTTGGAGGGAACGGGGAGTTAAGGCACGAAGCGGGGGAGAGGGGGGACCATTGGGATGGAAACGGGGAGGAGGAGGAGGAGAAGGCGGAGGAGGATGAGGAGGAGGAGGAGACGAAGAGGAGGAGAAGGAGCAGGAGAAGCAGGAGGAGGAGGAGGAGAAACAGGGAGCAGGATGATTAGGACAAGGAGAAGGAGGAAATGCAGTAGGGTCAGGAGGAGGAAGATGAGGATGATGAGGGAGGGCTGTTGGGACGGAGAAAGCCAAACAAATGCACGAAGCTGGGGAAGGATGGGGGGGTCAATCCGTGTGTGCCGGTGTGTGCATGTGTGCAGTCGGAGTGCATCCCCCTCTTGTTCTCTTGATCCTTCCTGCGTGTTCTTCCACACCCTTCTCCTCTGTTCTGCCGTCCCCATGCTGTGATCTCTCCCCTCTGCCTTCTTTGCGGACCCCCTATCCAGTGTCCCGCTTCACCATGCTTTTCTCCGGTTCTTCCCCCTTACGACCCTGGTTTTCAAGACGGGTTGGCGTTGCGGGCTCATTTAGATTTGACCTGTCGATTGGAATTGTGACAGCCCCACGAAGCTCTACTCTCCATTTTCCCTGTTCCTGCTGCCCCTGCCGCCCCATCTGGCATGACTGGCTCCCTGGCGAAGGAAGGCACATAGAAGTTACGGCTCGAAGGTCGGACGCGGGCGAAGGCGAGGATAGCGGTCAGCGCAGACGGTTGTTTTCGACAACAAGGCTCTGGGCATTGCAAGCTGTGGCGCCTTCTGCAGGGGAGGGACTGACGCACCACGCGCCAGCGCACGATTCCTGGTCAATCGTCGAATGTGAGCAGGGGAAGAATCGAAAGTACACATTCTGCCTCAGTCGATGGGTGAGTCTACCACACGAGGAGGAACATGGAAGGACGGATGGGGGGATGTTGAGTGGCAGCTACAGGATAATCAAAACGAAAGGAGTTGCATCAGGGTGTAGACGGGTATTGGACGAGACATCAGGGAACAACCGCAGAGAAGCGGAGGCGGCGGTTCAGCAGGAGTTGCAGCAGGATGTATGTGAGGAGAGGAGGTGTTCTACCTACCCCTCCTACTCAACCTCGACCTCCGTACCAACGCTGGCATGTATATTCTATATACACATGTGTACATACGCGTTTAGATCATGTAGTTTGATTCAATGTGGGCGCCGCTCACTTACGAACCAGATACCTCTCTCCGGAGGCTGGTGCTTCCCCCATTCAGGCACGCTTCCCCCACTCAGGCACGCTTGACGCCAGCATCTACGTTTGCGCCCACGCCAGCACCGACATCAGCGCGAACACCAACGCCTCTGCCAACACCGACGCACGTATCAACCAACGCCTTTGCCAGCAACGACACCACCACCGACGCCACAAAAATAGCCTGCGCCTGCGCCAGCACCGACGAGAGCATCTTCTGAGGGTGTCGCCCAACTCGCAGACTCCCACGCCGACCAGCACGCCGACTCCCGCGCCGACGAGTTCCACAGAAACCACAGAGCTGCAGCACGACTGTCAAGCAGGAGTAGCCGAATCACGAAAGTGGAGCCACACATTGTTGGCGCCACTTTCGCTGGCCAGCTTTGCGACAGAATATTTGTTTGCACCATCTCCAACTCCAGCACCTTCTCCGACTCTGACTCCGGCTCTGTCGCTATCTCTTCCAAATCCGTCGCAGCTCTGGCTTCGGCTCCGACGCCAGTTCCGACTCCAGCCCCGAGGCCAGATTGCTCCGACAGTCCTGACAACGACCACCACGAAGTGACTCCAGCGCCCGGACCGACTCCAATGATAGCCGTTCCATCGCCACTTCCACGATCACCATCACCAATTCAACCTGCATGAGTACAATCTCTCCCGAGGATGGTCTGTCATCCCCCGAATCTCTCCTTCGATGGGGTGCTGTATGAGCGGACGTACGTTTCCGACACCGGCAACGACGCTGGCACCGACGCCAGCGCGGAGGATAGCACATGGAGGGTGACATGTGGAGGGTGGCATGAGGTTGCAGGCGCTGGTCTTGCGACGTGGGCCGCCCCTCGACTTCGCCGTCCGCGGGTTCTGAGGTCCAGGCTCGGCGAGCTCTGAGGGCATTACGGTCTGTGGCGAGCCTGGCACGCAGGCTTGGCGCATTATTTTCCTTCCCTTTCTCCCCCTTCCTGCTGTTTCATGCTCTCTTGCATGTGCACGCTGCGTGTTCGTGCTGTTTTTCTGTATGCATGCTTTCTGGCCTCCTCGTGGCCGCAGTAAGCCAACCCCGTTTTGGTTTCGACGCCACGGGTTTGGTTATTTCTGCCGCCCCCAGGGTTTCAAGGCCACCCCAGGGCGCTGCTGTGCCCTGCCGGAACAATACCTCTGACATACTTTACTTAGTTCGGGGTAGACAGAACCCCCAACAGTGACACGTCGATTAGTGAATTGTCCGTCTTCGATTCTCGAGAGGGCGCCGTGGCCGTTATTTTCCAGGCTTGCGCCCGCCAGGTTTGGGCCTCAGGTCGTTTTCACTAAACCACGTTTTACTAAAGGGGGGTCTGTCCTTCCCCGATTAGTGACTTTGCGATTTTCCCGTACAGGACGCTACTTCCATTGCGGTCGTTTTGCCTGTCTTCTTCGTCTGCTCACCTGCACGTGGGGCCTTCTGGCCGTGATCGTGCTGCTTCCCTCCTTCGTCTGCCCCCCCTCTCTGTCTTCTTCGCTCTTCGTTTTTGCTTTCTTCCTCTCGCTCTCTTGTGTTTCCCGTTTCCGCCGTAGGGCTGGTAGGATTAGGGGTAAATATTCCTGCAGTGTGCATGCTCACCCGCCGCGGCTTTTCGGGTTCTCCCTTCCTCCTTCTTCCCCTCTCAATTGCCGATGTGCGCTTTCGAATTTTACAGTGTAACTGTTTGGGCTGCTCGGGGACATCCGCACAGCGTCTTGGTGCCTTTGCCAGTGGGGCCTTCGGTGGAGCTCCTTATGGGGCCGCGAACCGTTTAAGGGGTGCGCCGGGACGAGGGTGGAACTGCATGCGAATCCTGCCAATGGAGCCTTCGGTGGAGCTCCCTATGGGGCCACGAACCGTGTGAGAGGGGCACCGAAATGGAGGTGGAACTGCATGCGAAGCCTGCCTCTGGGGCTACGAACCGTGTGAGAGGTGCGCCGAAATGGGGGTGCGACTGCATGCGAACCCTGCCACTGAGGCATTCGGTGGAGCTCCCTACGGGGCCACGAACCGTGTGAGGGGTGCGCCGAAATCAGGATGGAACTGCATGCGAACCATGCCACTGAGACATTCGGTGGAGCCTCCCAAGGGGCCACGAACCGTGTGAGAGGTGCGCCGAAATCAGGGTGGAATTGCATGCGAACCCTGCCATTGGGGCCTTCGGTGGAGCTCCTGGCCACGAACCGTGTGAGGGGTGCGCCGAAATGAGGGTGGAATTGCATGCGAATCCTGCCAATGGAGCCTTCGGTGGAGCTCCCTATGGGGCCACGAACCGTATGAGGGGTGCTTCGAGATGTGGTGGAATCGCATGCGAACCGTGCCACTAAGGCTAAGGCATTCGGTGGAGCTCCCTACGGGGCCACGAACCGTGTGAGGGGTGCGCCGAAATCAGGATGGAACTGCATGCGAACCATGCCACTGAGACACTCGGTGGAGCCTCCTGAGGGGCCACGAAACATGTGGGAGGTGCGCCGAAATCAGTGTGAAATTGCATGCGAGCCCTGCAATTGGGGCCTTCGGTGGAGCTCCCTATGGGGCCACGAACCGTGTGAGGGGTGCGGCGAAATGAGGGTGGAATTGCACGCGAACTCTGCCACTGGGGCCTTCGGTGGAGCTCCCTATGTGGCCACGAACCGTGTGAGTGCCTCGAGATGAAGGTGGGAGTCGCATGCGAACCCTGCCTCTTGGGCCTTCGATGGAGCTCCCTATGGGGCCACGAAAGGTGTGATGGGCACGCCAGAACCAGGGTGGAATTGCATGCGAACCCTGCCATTGGGGCATTCGGTGGAGCTCCCTCTGGGGCTACGAACCGTGTAAGGGGTGCGCCGACATGTGGATGGACCCGCATGCGAACCCTGCCACTGGGGCCTTCGGTGGGGCCCTCTATGGGGCCACGGAACGTGTGAGGAGTGCACCCAAATGAGGGTTGAACTGCATGCGAAACCTGCCGCTGGGACCTTCGGTGGAGCTCCCGACGGGGCCACGAGACGTGTGATGGGTGTGTGCCAACATGGGGCGGCGCCGCCATGCGCACTGCGCGGGGGGGAGGGGGGGCAGCGGGAGGAGGGTGACGCGGGGCGCTGTCTTTTCAAAGCGAGGACCCACCACCACAGGATGTTTGGGGAAAAAGCATCGTCGAGCTTGCTAGCATCATCCTCCTCCTCCTCTTGGCCGCTTCGTCGTCATGCTGACGTGCGCGCCGCCCTTCTCGGCCGCCTCCGCCCTCCCGCGCTGCCTTCTCCCGCCTCCCCCTCGGTGTCCCTCGCCCTCCTCCTGGCCGCCTGCTTTGGGTTTCCTTTCTTCTCTTTGGCACCTAATGGTGCCGCCCGCTGTCGTCCAACTCCTCGTCTTCCTTCTTATTTCAAGGATGCAAGACGGGCAAAGACACAAACTGAAGTCATTTCCCATGACAATATGGGGAACCAGGGAAAGAGGAGGGGAAGACCAACGTCCAGAAACTATGGAAGCCACAACATAATCCTGGGAGTCGTGTTTATTCAGTTGTGTCTCCCTGGGCCCTTTTTATCCTCCTCTCCCCATGCAGCCTTCTTGGCCTCGTCGTCCGCACCGCCCGCCGCCTCCTGGCTCCTTGCGACTTGCGCCCCGCGCGACGGCCGCCGCCGCCGCCGCCGCCTGCGCCGCCGCCGCCTGCA